TCCCACAGTCCAAAGATGTGCAGGCTAGGTGGATTGGCCATGCTAAATTGCCTGTAGTGTTTAGGGATTTATAGATTAGGTGGGTTATAGGGGGATGGGTCTGGGTGGGATGCTCCAAGAGTCAGTGCGGACTTGTTGGGCCGAAGGGCCTGTTTCCACACTGTAGGGATTTTATGATTCTATGAAAAGTGTGCCTTCTGGTTCTCAATTTGTTTACAAGTGAAAATCTACTCTGTACCGACCACTTTGAAAACTTCTATAAATCTCCTTTTAGTCTCATCTCCAAGGAAAACAGCCCCAACTTCTCCAATCTCTCTTCATAACTGAAACATCTTATCCCTGGAACTCTCATAATGAACACTCTCTGATGCATTAACATTATAGTGTGGCATCCAGAACTCTATACAATACTCCAAATGAGTTCTAACTCGTGCCTTATATAAATTCATCATAATCTCAAATAAAAGCACAATACTATCTGAAATAAAACAAAGTGCTGGAGAAACTCAACAGGGGTCCAGCAGAATATTTGGAGAGAGAAACAGTTAACATTTCAAGTTTTATATAACTCTTCATCATAACCTCCCTGCTGTTGTACTCTATTATCCTATTTACGAAACCTAGAATACAGCATACTTTACTAACATCTCTATCTACTTGTCCTGTCACCTTTAATGACTTCTGCACATACATTGCCAGGTCTCTCTGCTCCTGCATACCCTTGAGAGTAGTACATTTGTTATATACTGTCTCTCAATGACCTTTGTACCAAAGTGTATTACTTGATGATCCCTGGAATGGAGGGATTGTCTTATGAGCAAAGGCTAAACAGTTTGGGACTGTACTCACTGGAGTTTGGAAGAGCAAATAGTGACCTCATTGAAGCATATTGGATTCTTAAGGGGCTTGACAGGGTAAATGCTGAGAGGATGTTTCCTCTCATGGGAACTAGGACAGAGGGCATAATCTCAGGATAAAGGGGAACCAATTTAAGATTGAACTGAGGAGGAAGTTCTTCTATCAGAGGGTTGTGAGTCTTTGGAATTCCTTGCCACAGAGAACTGTGGGGTCAGAGTCCTTGTACACAGTTAATGCTGAAATAGATAGATTCTTAATCAGTAGGGGAATCATGAGTTAGAGAATCACAGAGTCATACAGCAGAGAAACAAGCCCTTCAGTCCAACTAATCCATGCCGACCATAATCCCAAACTAAACTTGTCCCACCTGCCTGCAGACCTTTCCTATTCATGAACTTATCCAAATCTGTTTTAAACATTGTAACTGTACCCATGTCCACCACTTCCTCTGGTAGTTCATTCCACACACTAACCACTCTCTGCATAAAAACTTTCACACAACGCCTCCCACCCCATTTCCTTTTAAAATCTTTCTTCTGTCACTTTAAAAATATGCCCACCTTAGGGAAAAGACCTTTGTATTCACCTTATCTATGCCTCTCTGTATCTTTATAAGGTCACCCCTCAACCTCCTACGCTCCAGTGAAAAAGGATCCAGCATATTCAGAGATAACAAGGTGTAGAGCTGGATGAACACAGCAGGCCAAGCAGTTCCTGCTATCTCAGCATATTCAGCCTCTTATAATTCAAACCATCCATTCCCAGCAATATCCTGGTAAATCTTTTCTGAACCCTCTCCAGTTGAATAATATCCTTCCTATAACAGGGTGACAAGAACTGCACAAAGAACTCCAGAAGAGGCCTCACCAACATCCTGTATAACTTCAACATGATGTCTCAACTCTTATGCTCAAAGGTCTGAGCAATGAAGGTAAGCATGCTAAACACCTTCTTAACCACCCTGTCTTCCTGTGAAGCAAATTTCAAAGAATTATGTACCTGAACTTTTGGGTCTAATGTGTTCTACACGCTATCCAAGACCCACCATTAATTGTACAAGTCCTGTCCTTGTTTGTTTTACTAAAATGCAATATCTTGCATTTATCCAAATTAAACTTCATCTGCCACTTTTTAGTTCATACGCTCAATTGACCAAGATCTCTTTGTAATCTTAGCTAACCTTCTTCACTGTCCATTATGCCACCAATTTTGGTGTCATCCACAAATTTACTAACCATGCCTCCTATATTCTCATCCAAATCATTTATATAAATGATGAACAAAAGTTGTCCCACTACTCATCCCTGTGGAACACTGCTGATCACAGTCCTCCAGTCTGAACAACCCTCCATCACCACCCTCTGTCTCCTATTGTAAAGCAAATTTTGCATCCAATTGACAAGCTCACTCTGAATCCCTTGTTATCTAACTTTCATTTTGATAGGACTCTAATGTATTGTACATATTATGGGGAAAGGGCAGGAAAGTGGACTTATACAGGATGTTGGATCAGCCATGATCCTATTGAATGATGGAGCAGGCTCAAGGGGCCAAATGGCCTGCTCTTGTTCCTATTTCTTAAGGTCTTACAGTATTTACACTATTCTGCATTAAAATTCATCTGCTGCCAATCTGCCACTCCATCAATGTGTCCATGCCCTTTTATAGTTCTACACTGTCCTCTTCACAGTTTATAATTCTCCCAAGTTTGTATCGTCCACTTTGAAATTATGTCCTGCACGCTACAATGTAGGTCATTAATATACATCAGGAAAAGCAACAGTCCCAATTCTGACCCCTGGGGATCTCCACTACAAACCTTCTTTCAGCTTATAAAATGACCTTTACCTATTACTCTGTGTTTCCCAACCCTCAGGCAATTTTGTATCTTCAGCACAGTGGCTCTGGTTAGCACTGATGCCTCACAGTGCCAGGGACCCAGGTTTGACTCCAGCTTCGGGCAACTGTCTGTATGGAGTTTGTACATTCTCCCTGTGTCTATGTGGGTTTCCTCTGGGTGTTCCGGTTTCCTGCCACAGCCCAAAGATGTGCAGGTTAGATGGATTAGCCATGCTGAATTGCCTGTAGTATCCAGAGATGTGCAGGCTAGATGGATTAGCAATGGGAAATGCAGGGTTACAGGGATATGGTAGGGGGATAGGTGTGGGTAGATGTTCTTTGGAGGGTTGATATGGACTCGATGGACCAAATGGCCTGCTTCCACACTGTGAGGATTCTATGATGGAAATGTTCCTTTTTTTCTATGATCTAAACTCTCTTCTCAAGTCTATTGTGTGATACTGTATTGAGTGCCTTTGAGAAGTCCTCAGACACCACATCAACTTCATTACCATCATCAACACTCTGTTAACTCTTCAAAGAATTCCAGCTAGTTCGACACGATTTTCACTCAGCGAACTCATGCTGACTATTCTGAATCAATCCATATTCTTCTTTCTGATTATTAATTCTGTCCTGAATAATTTTTTCTAGAAGTTACCCTTCCACCAAATTTAAACTGACTGGTTGTAATTGTTGGGCTGATTGTTTACAATGTTTTTTCAATAATGGCTTAATGTTTGTAATTTTCTAGCACCATCCCCAACATGAAGACTGTTGAAAGATTGAAAGAAATTTGCCTGTGCAATTTCCAGTTTCACTATCTTCATCATCCTTGGGTAGATTTCATCTGGTCCTAGTGCCTTCTCAACTATAAGTATTGACAGCTTATCCAATGCCGCCTCCTTATCAATGTTAAAACCTTCTAGTGACTCAGCTTCCTCCTCTGTCACCATGGCATGGGTAGCATCTGCTTCATGCATTAAGACAAATGCAAAGTATTTATTTAACGGCTCAGCCATGCCTCTGACCTCACAGTGTAAATCCCCTTTTGGTTCCTAATTATCCCTCCTCCTCCAACTTTTACCATCTTTTTACAATTGACATGCGTATAGAAGATGTTGGGAATTCTTTTTATGTTAGCTGCTAATCTTTTTTCCAAAATCCATCTTTGCTCCTTGCATTTGCTTTATCGTGTCCCTTCTGAACCTTTGTACCCAGCTTCATTCTCGACTGTATTTACTACCTTAGACCTGTCATAACCACGTTTTCTTCTTTAACTTCATTTCTGTCTCCTTTGTCACTCAGAGAGCTCTGGATTTGTTTTTCTTACTTTTCCCTTTTGGGGGAATACACCTTGACTGTGCTGAAACCATTTCCTCTTTGAAGGTGACCCATTGTTCACCTGTTTTTCCTGAGTTGACAGAGGTTTTAAAAAATGATCTAATTCTGTGACAGAAGGCTCCGTTGGATCCTGAAATACTCAATGCATTATTTTCTCCCATTTTAATTTCAATATTCTTCCATTCTTTCTTCACTGTACTCATGGGGATTTGGCACCGTAGGCAGCAGCTGGCAGAAATTCATGGTTGAGTCTAGATTATGCATAAATGTCTAAGTGACTGTGGTTGGAATCATAATCAAGCTTGATCCAGTTCTCTCTCTGTTTTTAGGTGTATGTACTCTCCAGCGTGGGGTAGTAGTCATGAGTGGAAATTCTGTCTGAGTTTTCCATTCCCTTAGCCAAAGGACACTGAAGTTGTGAGGTAATTCACCAACTGCTACTCTGACTGAGATTAATTAATCCAGCACAGAGCTGAATTAAACCTGGATCTTCTAAGCTTTTATGATCGAGCATTGTGCCTTTATTAAAAGCCACCAGGGAACTTAGTTGGCTATCAGACAATCTGTCAAATGTTAGTGGTGGAGAGTAATTGCTTTTCCAGTAACACATTGTAGCTAGTTTCTGAAAAATAACATTCTCTGATATCCCATAATCTTAGAACTATTTCCTCAAAACAGAAACCTGATAAAAATCTGATGTATATGAGTAATATTGAATATTTTCAGAAATGTGTGCATTCCTTGCAAAACTTAAACAAAAATACATTTTCTAAATCAATGTATAAACTAAAATTTAAACTACCTTCTCAACAAATATAACACAAGTGTGATTGCACTTTTCAGATGTGTCATTCATACTGAAGTATCTTTCAACTTGTGGTCACGTTAAATGAGTCACTTTACTTTGCAGAGCTGAGTGTGTTTGCATTTCTTTCCCAGTACAGTGAACAGAACAATAAGACCACAAACATATTTTTATTAATATTATAGGTTTCATTAAACTTGTACATTCTTCACTCATTTGGCTCAATCTGTATCATATCACATTAAGCAGCATTTCCTCTCTTTAGAACTGCAGTATGTTTCTTTTAAAAATTTATTTCTTTTTATATATTGTTACCTTATGAATTTGCTAATTTAGAAATTGTGGCAACTCTATGAAGATTTATGTATATGCTGAACAAATAAACTGCAAATCTGAACGTTTGAAGCAAAAACAGAAAGGCTGCACCAGAGCTGCCACACAGTGTCAAGCTCAAATGTTAGCCTGTCTTTTCTCTTTTCAGAAGCTGATGGAACGGTTACATATTAGAGATCATTGTTATTCCCATTCCAAGCATTTCACTAAGAAATAGTAACTTATGTTCACAAGATGATCACATAGTGATGATCCTAATTGTGTGGAACATGTTAGATGTAAATCATAAACATTTTCAGTTTTATTTACTAACCATAGGTTACCAACTAGAAACATGCATCAGTTAGAAACAGACTTTTGAACCTGTTTGCAAAGGGTTTGCTGTACATGAATAAGGAACTGTGATTTCAATGTACTAGGCTTTAGTGAGAACACACCTGTAGCACTGTGTGCAGTTTGGTCTTTGTTTTTAGGATATACTTGCGTGGGATGTGGAACAGCAAATGTTAACTTGATTGATATGTTGATGAGAGGGTTTTTCCAATGGTGATAGGCTGAGTCAATTGTGCCTATAGTAACCTGGATCTTAGAAGAATGAAGGATGATCTCATTGAAACATGCAAGGTTTTGGAGGGATTTAACAGAGTCAATGGTGAGACATTGTTTGCCCTGACGAGAAACCTAGAACACATGGCCACAGTCTCAGGAGAATGGACCAGTCATTTTGGACCGAGGTTTGTGAATTGTGTTCTCTACCCCCAATGATTATGGATGGTCCATTGTTGAATTCATTGAAGGCTGAGAATAGCACACATTTGAACTCTCAGGAAATGAGGCTGTGAGTGGGCAAGTGCATGGTCAGTGGAATGCAATGGCTAAAAGTGTGAGGTTATCCACTTAGGAAAGAGGAATGGAGATGCAGAGATTATGAGATTGGAAAGTGTTGATGTCAAAAGGGCCTAGGTATCTTCGTTCATAATTAATTGAAAGCTAATAATCAAAGAATTTGGAAGGAAAATTGGTAGGTTATCTTTTATCACAAGATGATTTGAGTATACGATCAAAGAAGTTTTCCTTTAATTGTATAGCTCACTGGTGAGACTGGAGTAATGTGTGCAGTTCTAATCCCCTTGCCTAAGGAAAGATAGAGGGAGCAGCAGAGATTCACCAGACAGATTCCTGGGATGGTGGGACTATCCAATGAGGAGAGATTGAGGAGACTAGGCCTATATCCTCTGGAGTTCTGAAGAATGACAGACGATCTAATAGAAACATACAAAATTCTTAAAAAGGTTAGTCAGAGTAGATGCAGCAAGGATATTGCCCCGGCTGTGGGCTCTAAACCAGGGGACACAGTCTAGAATAACAGACAAGTCATTTAGGACTGAAAAGAGGAGGATAGGATGGTGAATCAATGGAACTCTCCAGCCCAGTGAGCTGTGGAAGCTCATTTATTCAATAAGTTCAAGTCAGAGTTACTAATGACATCAAAGGATATGAAAATAGTGAGGGAATACAGCATTGATGTGGATGACCAGCCATTAAGCTCCTATGTTCCAAATGTAAGGGAGGATGTAAAAATGGATTTAAGTCAATTATCAGCCAAAATCAGAGGTTTGATGAACTACTGTGGTCTATTCCTGTTTATATTTTGTTTTTATGGTAAGTGCGTATCATTGACTGGGCCACTATTGGTTGTCCATTCATTATCTATGTGTCACATACTGATGAAACATAAAGGCTTTTCCCCTAAATGCTTGCATCCTGTCCTGAAGGTGCTGAGAAATAGTTTGAAAGACAGTGGATACATTCTGACACTGCAAGCGATCAGAGAGTTTTCTTTAAACTGATCTGAATCAGGCACTATCACGTTCTCAGGGTAAACCTTATACTTGCAATTAAATTTCAGGTGGTGTAGTGAAGGCAAAAGTTTTGAATCATTCAAGAGTCTGTTGGATGCAACAATAGCAAAAATGTAACTTTTTTCTTGTCAATGGCTTAAGGTGAGTTAATCTGTTTTGTTAACTTGCTGACTTCCCATGGACTCCATATTAACAATGTTAATTGAAAACAGAAACTTAAACAATTGACTATGTTGAACATTATCACATACTCCTTTCCAAGCAAGAACAGCTAGTCTTCCTGGTCCATTTATGTCAGCCAATGGAGAGGCATTGATCTCATTGTTCAGAATTTGCCTCCTGGAGAGGCAGTGATGGAATGGTCAAATGTTAGTGATATATGGAAAAGATGAAAGAGTGAAAATTGTTTCGTTATTGAGAATGAATGTGTGCCAGAAACTCGGAATACTTTTACTGTTCATGCAAGCAAATAAGTGCTGGATAAGCACCTAAGATACTACTTTTTATTTACTCGTTTTTGGAAATAAAAGTTTTTATTTTAGCAGTCTTAATGTGGCTAGTGATGTCATGATATCTTACATGTTGTCCATTAGTTTAATATAATGCTTTGAGAATGTAATATCCATTTTAAAATAGCCATCTTGTGTTAGGTACACAAAGTCTGTAGCATCTGAATAATAACCATTCAGTTCACAAACTGCACTTATTTCACTCTGGATTTTGTAAACACAAATAGACATACATACACATATATGCAGATACTAGAGTCTCATCAGTTGTATGCTTGTTTCTTTAAGCCTCTCACAGTACTGGACAATGTTCAGCTGCTTTTCAGCTCTGCACTTGGGGTATTTGACAAACTGACACTGTTTTAAATTGAGTGTCTGAATTCAGCTTGTCAAATACACTCAGTGCAGAAGCTGTGATCTCTTGAGTCATGGATAGAAAGTTACTTTTGAAAATGAATTTGTCTTTGATTCCTTGGTATCTGAAACAACAGTAAACAGTAAATACTGTAACATGGACTTCAAACTATTATTCTGCTTAACCTTAGAGAAAAATTAATACAAAATATATAAATACAAAAATGACAAGCCATGTATTGCACAACATTCCAAATTTTCCAACCGCTTTGGTAAATTTTAGAGAATATAAGTTATGGATTTCTTTTAATCCTTTTGTTTTTATCATTGATGTAAAACGATATTTTAACAACTCAACTATGAGAGAGAAGATAGTGATATTTATTGTGACTTAATACATTGGCTGTAAGGAATTGTGGACAGTAGTTATGTTCAAGAGCATATTTGAAGGCTAGATTGATGGTATTTTGTAATCAATGAGGAAGCAAAAAAAAATGCTACTGATTAACCTGGAGATAAATAGAGATCATAATGAAGAAAAATAAACTGGATAGATGCAACAATATGTACTTAAGAAAAATAGAGTGATTTTACAATAGGATTTTTATATGGTTAACAGAATGTTACTGCATGGTGTGTTAAGAGCTGTAGGCCATTACTTATATTGACATTTGCATGTCACTTCCTGGGAATACTACATTGTACCTTTCTATGGCTCATATTCACCAGAAGAACGGTAATGAAACTAAAAAAAGTATTTAAAATAAATTGGAGAACTGCAGATGCTGGGGATCTGAAACCAAAATAGAAATTGCTGGAGAAACTCAGCAGGTCTGGCAGCATGTATGGAGAGAAAGTAAGTTAATGTTTTGAGCTTCCAAGTGACAAGGGTCACTGGACTCAAAACATTAACTCTGTTTTCTCTACAAAGATGCTACCAGACCTGTTGAGTTTCTCCACTAATTTCAGTTTGTTTCTAAAAAAAAAATTAGTTCTCTCTACAGTATAGTTCCGTTGGCAAGAACAGCTCTTTGGTACTCACCTAAGGACACCTTTATCCAGGTTTCAGCCAACTGTTCCTCTGATTCTCAACACGTTTATAAATTTACTTTCAGCAGGCAATCATATTAAGTAGTGACTTCTATCAATATTTCCCACTTCTAACCAAGGCTACTAGGATCAACTATGTTAAACTAACTTTTGCCCCAGTTGTGTCTTTGTGGATTGAATACTGACCTTATTTTTAGAGTGCAGTGGGTGGTATCTTTGCTGAATGGGCCATCAGGATAGCAGAAATGTTTTTCCCGTCAAGCTACAATCACTATAGAAATATGGAAGTTACATTTCTCTTTTGTCTTCTGAAGAAACAGAGGTTAGAAGGGAATGAACAACCTGTTCCTCTGTAGTTTTCAAATATATGTATTTGTATCATTCCATGAGGAAAAAAAATAGTTTATTTATTCCCTTACTTAAGCTTATTAAAATATAACAAATAATGTAAGAAAAGCGTAATAATTTCTGTAAACATTTTTGCCCATGCTATTTATACCGACACTGAATTGCCAACTCTGGGCTAACTTCCACTTTGTTGCCGTCTTCTTCCCCTTGTCTCCTTTGTGTAGAGGATTCAACCAAATGTCTCGAAGGGACATAAAGCCTTTTTAAAAACTAATTTTGACCAGGTCTGTACATTTCCACCTTATTTAAGTTTCATAAAATTCTTTATAAGTTGAGCCAAAGTACATTGTAGAATTATTAATATGTTATATTGGAGCTAGTCTGGGGATTTCTCATGTAGACAGTTACTTGCACAGAAAAGTGGTATGTTCCATAAACTTGCACAGATATTCATTAAATTAATGAAAAATTATTTAAACTAACTTTGAAGGAAATTTTAAAATAAATTATTTGAATACTAGATTTTCCCAATAATTAAAAAGCATCACTTTTGACAATAACTATTAATTTCATACCTGCATAGCTGTATTTTACAGTCAAACCTATCAGAAGAATGGAATCTGCTTCAGCTGTGGTGTTCAGTCTTTGGATAAATGAAGGCAGGCAGACCAGCATCTGGTAATGAAGCAAACGTTTTGCAACTTCTTCAATATACGTGGTTCTCTGAAATACAGAAGGTTGTCATATCGAACCCTTAAATCCTCAGCAGGAAACTCAAAATGGGGAAGATAACTCTGAGGTTTTGGTTGCAGGAAATATCTGTATGAGAAGTGACAAGATGACACAGTTTATTGTGAAACCAGAGGCTGAAGTGTTTTCTGTTAAACCTTCCACTAACACACAGAAGTTTCAAGCTGTAAGTCCAACCTGTTTTACATCTTCACTGGGAACATCACCACCTGCAAGTTCCCCTTCAAGTCACATACAAGCTGAGTTAGAACTGTATCATCATTCCTCTACCGTTGCTGGGTCAAAATCCTCTAACTCCCCAGTCAACAGCATTGTGGGAGTACCTTTGCTATGTGTACTGCAGTGATTCAAGAAGGAGGCTCACTACCACCTTCTCAAGGGCAGTTAGGATAGACAATAATTGCTGGCCTTACCAACAAGTTTCACATCTCACATGGATAAAATAAGTGCAAACTGGAATTACAATTATTTGAACTCTTTTGAAAAAATATTTGTATACAAAACATGCTTGGTGTTGTTAAGTTCAAGAAGGCATGACTAAACGCAATTGTGTTTAGGTATTGTTCAATCTTTCTTTTTCCAATTTCTCCCCCTCCTCCCTAAATTTGCACATTCTGTGCTCAGATATCAGATTAGAGGCAACAGAAGCAACAAGATTTCTGCTGAAGTCCTTTCTACATTTCTCCTACCATATCTGAACTCTCAAAATTGGAAAACTCAATTGCAAACCCAATAGTTAATTCACTACTTTATGTGACCAAACACTCTTTGCTCTCAATGAAGACATTTACCAGGAAGTAGCAAAAAAACTTTCTTCCTCCCTAAAATTATCTAGTCAGAGTGAATTCTCCTATCTATTTTGCTTTCTCAAGTTCCTAATCTACAAAGCGCACTATGACAGATAAGGTGAATTGTCAGTCACTGGGATAGTTCAACTGGATATTAGAGACTTGGGCCATTCTTGATTCAGGATTATCATTGTCCTAGAAAGATCAGCTTACACCTACTTGACACTTGCACAGCAAGGGATATGGGGCCCTTGCCTGAAGACCCCTTGTTATGATGCCATGGGAAGGAACATTACAGAAGGAGTGCTACTGCTTAGAGAGGCATTGACTCCTGTGTTCACTCGACATCCCATTGATTCTGGGTGCAGTGATTGAGGCTATTACAGACTTAATACTCCAATCAATTATAGAAGCCCTGTGGAAGTGTCCTGTTCTATTACAGCAGTGTTAGTTGGCATCCCATCAGCTTACTTCAAAGTTCTTTGAACCTCAAACAATCGCCTGGCTGGGTTTCCAGGGTTATCTGTATCCTGTGTGACGCTGCCTGCTGAGTTGCCAGTGTAGATGCTAGACTCCAACGTTGAATTAGAAGCCGTTTCCACTGCCTACAAATGATCTGGAATCAGCAATTCATTCCTGAATGCAGCAACATTTCTCTCTTCAAATGCTCACGCCTACTTGTGCTCTATGAATTGCTCAGGCAAACCAATTCTCACACAAAATAAGGTGCAGAGCTGGATGAACACAGCAGGCCAAGCAGCATCATCGGAGCAGAAAGGCTGACGTTTCGGGCCTAGACCCTTCATCAGAAATGGGGGAGGGGAAGGGGGTTCTGAAATAAATAGGGAGAGAGTGGGAGGCGGATAGAAGATGGATAGAGGAGAGGATAGGTGGAGAGGAAACAAACAGGTCGAAGAGGCGGGGATGGAGCCAGTAAAGGTGAGTGTAGGTGGGGAGGTAGGGAGGGGATAGGTCAGTCCAGGGAGGACGGACAGGTCAAGGGGGCGGGATGAGGTTAGTAGGTAGGAGATGGGGGTGCGCTTGGGATCCCTGCAGCCCAATGGTATCAATGTGGATTTCACAAGCTTCAAAATCTCCCCTCCCCCTACCGCATCCCAAAACCAGTCCAGCTCGTCCCCGCCTCCCTAACTTGTTCTTCCTCCCACCTATCCCCTCCTCCCACCTCAAGCTGCACCCCATCTCCTACCTACTAACCTCATCCTGCCCCCTTGACCTGTCTGTCCTCCCTGGACTGACCTATCCCCTCCCTGACTCCCCACCTACACTCACCTTTACTGGCTCCATCCCCGCCTCTTCGACCTGTTTGTTTCCTCTCCACCTATCCTCTCCTCTATCCATCTTCTATCCGCCTCCCACTCTCTCCCTATTTATTTCAGAACCCCCTTCCCCTCCCCCATTTCTGATGAAGGGTCTAGGCCCAAAACGTCAGCCTTTCTGCTCTGATGATGCTGCTTGGCCTGCTGTGTTCATCCAGCTCTGCACCTTGTTGTCTCGGATTCTCCAGCATCTGCAGTTCCTACTATCTCTCACACAAAATAAATTGCTGGAAAATCTCAGCAAGCCTGGTAGCATCTGTGGAGAGAATTCAGAGTTAATGTTTCAGGACCAGTCACCCTTCTTCAGAGACTGACTCACAGGGTATTGATCAGAGAGAGAGAGAGAACTGGTTTAAAAAATACTGAAAGAACTGCAGATGCTGGAAATCTGAACCAAAAATGGAAATTGTTGGAAAATCTCAGCAAGTCTGGTGGCATCTGTGGAGAGGATTCAGAGTTAACGTTTCAGGTCCAGTCACCCTTCTTCAGAACAATGTGACCCGTTGAGATTTTCCATCAATTTCCGTTTTTGGTTCAGATTTCCAGCATCTGCAGTTCTTTTGGTTTTTTTTAAACCAGTTTTCTCTCTCTCTCTGAACAATACCCTGTGAGTCGGTCTCTCTGTGTTGTTGATTATGTAGGTAAGATTCCAGGAAGGAGTTAATGAGGATTAGATTGCCAGAGTGTTTGGTTTCCTCCACCAGAGCATTCTAATCAATGTGAGTCATGCAATAATTTGTTTTACTGAACAGAAAATTACATTTGCCTTGAAGAAATTGCAGGTTTTTCTAAGCACATTACAATATTTTGGGGAGATTGAAATTACATATGATGAGCCAACTCCAGTTTTTATTTAACTTAAGCTCACCTTGCTAACTTCCATAACAATGACATTTTTCATTTATATATCATCTTCAACCTAGTAAACTGCCTGAAACAATTCACAGCAGTGTAATCAGAAAATAAAATTGACATTTAAACAAAGAGAAGGCATGAAGACTAGTGAGTAAGAGCTTGGTCAAAGAGGTGGATTTTAAAAAGAGAGGTGATGAGGTTTTGGAAGGAAATTACAGAGCTTGGAGCTGTGTGACCTCTGGTCCAACTGCAAATGGGGTGACAAAAGAAGTCAAGGAAGAACAATTTTTGCCTTTGTTTATATTGCACCTATTAAACAGTAAAATATCTCAAAGTGCTTCTTGGAAATATTATCAATCAATGTTTGACATCATGCCACCAGAAGGGATAAATAGCATATGACTAATATTTTTATCAAATAGGTGAGTGTTAAGGAACATCTTAAAGGAGAGAAAAAGAGCAGAGAAGCAGAAAAGTTTGAAGAAAACATTCCAGAATTTACAGGCTTAGCAAATTAAGGCATGACTACCAGTCATGCGGTCATTAAAATCAGGATGAACAAGAGGTCAGAATTTGGGGAGTGGAAATATATTGCATGATTACAGGTGGTGGAAGAAGTTACAAATATCGGGAGAAACACAACCACAGAAAGATTTAAACTCTAAGGTGAGAATTTTAAAATCAAGGCATTGCTTACCTTGGGGCCAATGTAGGACTGTGACTCCAGGGGCAATTGATAAAGGTAATGTTCATTTATAAGAGCATTTCTTGCAAATACGCAGAGGCAGATTTGGTCACAGAAACTAAGTGACGCATTTGGTGTCATAGAGGTCATTTTGTTCGTTTGCGACTATACAGGTAGTCTTAAGTTTTGCAGTGCAAACTAAAACTTATTATTATAACTGTGTTAGAATTGATCCCAAAATATTCTGTTCATTTGTTAATCATTATTATTAAAAGTCTCATCAGAAATTGTTTTACTTGGTAGAACTTATTGCAGATGTTAACAAAATGACAGAATTATTTATTTACATTCATTACTTTCCTCATGGCTGGGCACTTAACCCAAGAGTCATTGTCTTGAGCCCAAATCAGGTCAATAATTTCTGATGATTTATTTACTTGTTCTTATTTAGGTTCTGGGGCATGGACTGGAATTCTAATTGAAAGGATTCAAGTAGAGTCCTGGAAAAGGCAAGTATGTGTTTGGGAGGAAGCAGCTTTTTCAAGGACTTTTGAGAGGAAAAGGAGGTTGGAAATAGGAAAGTAGCTTGCAAAGCCAAAGGTATGCTTTTTTTAGGTGAGGGTGATAACGGCTGTTTTGAAAGAGGGCATTTGAAAAGAAAGAACCACTAACCATATCAGCTAACGTGGAAGCTGGGAAGGGAAGTTGAGTGATCAGCGGTTTAGTATGCAACAGGAGGTAGTTCTCGTAGACAAGATGAGCCAGTGTTGTTTAGACACAATCATAGTGCTGTAATGGAACTATATAGGTTGCTAATTGAATGTTAATTGTGTTTCATTTCATGCAGGTTGTGGGGGTTAACGGGAGTGCAATTACACCCCAACAAAGAGAAACATACTGATATTCTGGTTGTTAGGTTAGGAGGTACATGTTTGTATTGTTTATCTCTGTAAATCACAGCTTATTGGAAACATGAAAAGAAAGGGTCCAGTTCTATACGGACCACATGGCTTTCTGAAATAAAGTTAGCTGTTAAGTCATTTCAGAGGATAGTTAAGAATCAATAACTGGGACTAAAGTCATATGTAGGTCAGACCAGGTCAGATTTTCTCCCTTAAGGGACAGTCATGAACCAGATTAAAATGCAGCTGAATCAATTAATAGAAAAGTACTCTATTCCAACAACGTACAAATCATTTGTGATCATTGGTAGCAGTGCTTAGATCTCTGTTCTAGGTATCCTGGAAGCTGCCATGATGCCTATATCCTCAAAGATTCTCAGGTTCTCAATTCAAGGGCCAGA